CCCGCTAATAATAATAATAATAATAATAATAATAATAATAGATAGCATTTGTATAGCGCATATCCCCGCTCAACAGCAGGCTCTATGCGCTTTACACTATATTATTACCCCAGCAGACCACAGAACACTCCGAAACGTTCTCAGCTTCCCGTGAAGCATACAGTGCAAGCAGCTGATTAAGCGCTCAAACAGTAACAAACTGACAAGATCTTTCGCTGTCTATAGCCGGGTACCCATTCCCACCTGGGTGAAGTGAGGAAAATTCGTGTAGAGTGCCTTTCCCAAGGACACAACGTCGGGCCCCTGACGGGATTCGAACCCACGACCTTACGGTTGCGAGTCCGAGAGCCTAACCCCTAGGCCACCGACGCTAGATATTTGAGATTTCAGTTTATTTTGAAAGGTCACTACTTACTTAAATTGCTGCCTTTTGCGGTCAGTGCAGATTTCCTATGATTCTGATATATTTGACATCAGTACCTTTCTTCTCTAAATGCTCAATCAGCCTGGTATGGTGGATTCTGTCAAAAGTTGTTCAATAATACAGCATTCAGAGTTGTTTTTGGAATTGACGGTTTTTCTGTGCCGTTGTGTTCTTGCAGAAGATACTTTTTTCTGGTGTCACGTCCACACCTTATGGCGAACTGTTCATCTCAAATTATTTTGTCAATTTTGCCCGTAATTCTCTCCAACATAACTTCCAAAAAATATGTTCATGCAATATCTTACTACTAATGGAGCTAAGGCCAAATTTTGCGAACAGTATATTCTCAAAAACTACACAGTGAAAAAATATGAAACTTTGCCAGTACCCATAACTTGAAACGTAGTGTTGCACTATTGTATTTTCATAAAGATCAAATGTGTAATAAGAAAGCCCAGTTTTAGTTAAATTCAATCCTTTTGTAGCGATCGCCATCATTTGCTTCGACATTGTATATTCACTGCGGAGTGCCGACTGCGCCAAAGGGTGTTTTGTGTTCAGTTGTACATAAAGTAGGTTTAGGGGAATTCTCGGTCTCGGTCTCACGCCTTTTGGAGGAGGAGGAAGAACAGGAGGAGGAGGTGTAGGTGTAAATGGAGAAGAAGAAGAAGAAGAAGAAGAAGAAGAAGAAGAAGAAGAAGAAGAAGAAGAAAAAGAAGAAGAAGAAGAAGAAGAAGAAGAAGAAGGAGGAGGAGGAGGAGGAGGAGGAGGAGGAGCATGTGGAGGAGCAGGAGGAGCAGCAGTAGGGTTTTAAGGAGGAGGAGGGGGAGAACAAAGAGAAGAAGACGGAGAAGAAGAATCAAGTAGTAATACATGTTACAAAGTGGTGACTTTTTCGTTTGTTACCCTACCTTGGGAGAGAGAGGGGGGGGGCAGAGAGAGAGAGAGAGAGAGAGAGAGAGAGAGAGAGAGAGAGAGAGAGAGAAGGCCAGAAAGCACTAACAGAGGGAGGGTGGTGAGAGTGACAGGGAGGGTGTCGTCGAAAGCGCAACGAGTAGTTTAGCCTACCGTAGGCCTACTTAATGTGTCGAGATAAATCGAGATCAAGAAAAATCACGAAATGAAAGTAGAATCTAGATCTGTGATATTTTGATAATCTATTGAATGTTAAAAGTGGATTTTTCTTGCTGAGCATTATAGATTATAAGATCTAGATCTAGGCTGGATCTATGTTAATCTTAGATCGAGATCAAGAATGATGAAAGTATTGAACGTGGATTTGTTCCTGCTGTGAATAGATCTAGAGTCTAAAACTAGGCTGTAGGTGAATCTAGATGAGATCAAGAATCATGAAAGTATTCTTGAAAGTGGATTTTTCCTACTGTGAATAGATCTAGAAATCTAGGCCATCTGTGACGCCTGTCGGTTGTTAAAAATGTGAATTTCTAAACCTAGATCTATCTATGGGCCAAGGCTCCTTCTTTCAATTATTGGACTATGTCTTTATGATCCTTCGAGATATAGGCGCGGCTAGATCTAGAATCTAGATTAGGCTTTTCTAGGAAGCAACAATGGCCATGTAGGCCTAACTCATTTTTAAAAATGTGATTGAGCTGGAACTTTAGGAGAAAATGACACGCCTTCGAAGAGGAAGAAGAAGTCTTACCCCTGGAGGTAGTCAAGAGGGGGTGCTACATGGATAAATTCAAGGTAAAATATTTGTGTTTTGTTTCTTTTCTGTTTTCAGTCTTTTTCCTCTTCTTAACTTTCCTAATAATTCTTCATTACTATTCCGTTCGTAGAACGGGTACTTTTATTACTAGTATATAACATTAGACTGATGGTCCTGAAGTCTGAGCTGTTGTTTTTTTTGGTTAATTTTGAGGATGGTAATATAAATCGATTGGAGTGGGTTTTCTGGTACTTGTACTGAGTCATAGATTTCACTGAAAAGTTTTGTCCTAGTGTCAATCCCAAATTGATCTAATTGCTTCAGCATTTCTGTGTTTATGTGGAAGCTTTTTTTTTTGTGGCGTGTTTTAATTTGATTTCAGATGGTATTGGTATTGCTCAGTTGAGGGAAGGGTAGTCAATTGTAGATATTGAATAGCGAATGTTGCTGATTAACTTGTGTATGAGAAATTTGTACTTGGCATTCGATCAGTATGAATGCTGGCTTCACGCTTCGGAGCGTCTATGGAAGTTCAATTCGAGAAAATGGCACAGCACTTGTCTGATGGTTAGAGTCGTTTCGTCGCTACACACACAAAAACATGAATGTGATTTCAGTTTGAAGGAAGATATTATTTAGACTGTTGGGTGTCTAGTTGCTAGAACACCGTTCCCCACTCAGCCTGGTTGGCGTTTGGGTCTAAGCAGCCCACCTCCTAAATGATTTAAACTGGGGTGTCCGTGGAGATAGTAAACACTATGCTGCTGTTGTTGTTGTTGCTGCTGATGATGAAGATACAACTTCCGCTTGATGCCATGTGTCAGTCGGCTTGTCCACATCTGGCCCCGTTATTTCGTCGTTTATGTACAATGAGTGTAAGGAATTATGGATTCCCGATGACAGTGGTTGGAACCCCTCACAGGACGTTCTAAAACGCGTGTTATAGGAAAGTGTTTATGGGCCTAGATCTAGTATTATGTAGAATCAGGGGCGAAGCGTCTATGTAATCAAATAATCACTGCTTCCCTTCCTAATTTTGAAACATTGTCGCTGTCAAATTCACCTCTAAACGTAAACCTCATAAATTAAATGTAAAAAGACGTTCATAACCAACCATGAGCAGTATGCCTAACATTCAAAAAGGTTTCACTGCCACAGAAATGTCCTGCTCACCCCTCTCGGGCCACTCCATAAGCAGTCACAAGCTTTGATTAAGTAAGCTTAAAGTGAAGCTGGAAGAGTCTACCAATAGAGCTGAAGGGAACATGTCCATAGCAGTCAAAACTGTTTCATTGCCACAAATACCCTGTTCACCCCTTTGGGGCCACAGTTATAAGCAGTCGCAAACTCTGATTAGATATATATATTATATATGTAAGCTAACTATTACACTGGTCGAGTCTACCTCACAAATGTGAGGGGAACTAACTCCTAACAATCTCTTGCATGCTGCAAGTGCTTGCTTTTTTTCCTCGACTTTTTACCGTCCTATAATCAGATTGTGACCCCGATTATGACACCGCCTCCTGGCCGCGAAAGGCTAGACAAAAATAGCCAAATGTGAAATTTTTTAAAAGGATAATTGTCATGTTTTACCAAAGAGTTAGACTCACGGGAAGATCTATTACTTATAGATCTAGTACCGACATCTCTGTTTCTTTGCTTTGTGTTTGTGTATTCACATCTAAAGTTAAATTTAATTTTAGTTGGAATTAATATTTAATAAGATACTTTCCCGATAATTTTGGCAGTTGAACATACAATATGATTTCCGTATTTGTTCTCCTTCACAATTCACAACTCAAGAGTCGCCGCCTCGAGTAAGATTCTTGTGTGATAATAATATCTCCAGGCCATATCTGGTCCCGTTTCACTTTGATTACCCTGTCAAACAAGTCAGCCTTCGCCCCTGAAGTAGATCTAGAATCTAGTCCCTATCAACTTAAACAGAAATTCACAGAGGTTCTTGGGATTTTTTAAAAATTATAGTTTATAATTTATGCATTGGTATTTTGGTGTTAAATAAAGAGACAAAAACTAACGTAAATGAGAAGTGCGGTGATAGAAGTTAGGTTTAGCCTACTGAATGGCTTATAGAGAGATAAGATACAACTAAACTGAACGTCACAGGTGCCAAACTGTGAAAGCAAAACTACGTGCAATTCTTTCGTTTTTTTAGATCAATTACCTATAAAAGGGAAACCCAAATGAAGTTTGGGGGGGGTTAGCTTATTTTGCGCTAAATGTAGTCTAAATAAACACTTCCTTTTTTCATATTATAATATCAAATGTTTTAATGGTTTATTGTGACACAAAACCCTGTTGCCACAGACTAAATGTTGACCTGTTATTCCATTGCACGATCAAGGGCTGCCATCCGCGTATCTGTGTTCTGGTCCACTTTTGTTTTGTTTTGTTAAATTTGGTTGACAGGATTCAAGCGTGCACAGTTGGGCTGTATTTCTGACCCGAATTCTATATATATTTGCCGGCTTGTCACGTAAACTAGTTTTTGCACAGCTCATCTCGCTCAGGTAGGAACTTACAATTATTTAGTACCAGTTCTACACTGGCGTCTTTGTATGGAAATGATTGGAGAGTGCCACTGGTAGGTCGTTCTTCCCTCCTTCCCTTTATTGTTTGTCCCTGTCTGTCTGTCTCTCTGTCTGTCTGTCTGTCTGCCTGTTTGTATGTATGTCGTTGATTCCCCGCACTGAATGGGTGTGATTGTGACGATGTGCTTTTCTTTACACAAACAAACGTCTGCCAGCGGTGCGTAGTTGTGAACTCTTCATCGTTGGACACAGAAGATGTGAGTTTGATTCCATGACGGAGTAAGTTATTATTTAGAGCATAGTGTGTCTTTCTGCTGGGATATTGTACCACACTTAGCCTGGGTTGGCGTTCTAGTTAAATGATTTAAACTGTGGTGTCAATGGAGGTGTCAAACATTTGTTTTCAGTCTGGTGTAGCCAATACAAGGCAGAATGATTTTGCTTACACTAGTAGTCTGATGATGGTGGTGGTGCTGCTGCTGTTGCTGCTACTATTATTACAACTTCTGCTGTTACTGTTGTTGCTGTTGCTGCTGCTGTGGATAGTTATGATGATGATGATGATGATGATGATGATGATGATGATGATGATGATGATGATGATGATGATGATGATGATGATGATTTTTGCAGGGCTCATCTCGCTCAGGTAGGAACTTAAACAGTTATTTACTCCCAGTTATACACACCCTCTTCAAACCATCCCAAACATATATTCCGTTCTGTGGTCTGCGGTATTGCCCATATCCGTCGCCACATCTGTTCTCGTGAAAATTCTTTCAAACAACGGATAGAGGAGTTCACAGGCAATATTCGTCTCAGTGGATACCGCAAAAGTTTTATCACTTCCATTATCGAGAAAGTTAGCAAACTGAACCACACTAACTTTCTGACCTACGAGCCCCTAAGCCTAAACAGAAAATAACATTTTTGTCACAACTCATCACCAAAAACTACCCAATGTACATAAAATCCACTGCCAACATTAAAGCATCCAGGAAAAATGAGACAAAATGAAAGCCTGTTTCCCCGATCCCCCTCTGATTGCACTTCAACAGTCCCCTCGTTTGAACGAGAGCAGTAGATCTACTACCCATATTCTCACCTCCAATAAACCCATGTATCTCGCCTCAAAAGTATCCTTGTCAAATACTAGGTGTAAAACATATGCTCACATGAAAGTGACCAACTTGAAGAAGGTCCCCACTTTAAAAGAAAACTTTCTCACAGCATCACTTGTGAAACCAAAAACGTAATTAACCTCAGTTCATGCAGTCTGTCCAGCCCAATATGAAGCTAAAACTACCACCACACTTACAGCTAGATTTAATAACCATAGATCTTCTTCTTCTTCTATCCCGTGGTTGGGGCAACCGTGGGGGCACCACTGCATTTGAAAACCTGCTCTCGCCATCTGTTTTTTGTCCTCTGCTTTCCTCAGTTTGTCACTCATCGTCTTTCCTGTCCACTCTGTAATGTTGTCCTCCCATCTCCTTCTCTGCCTTCCTCTCTTTTTCTTTCCTTGTACGGTTCCTTGCGGGATTGTTTTGGCATGTTTGTGGATCTTGTGACATGCCCATACCATTATAATGTTCGTCTCTTCACTGTGGTCAGTAGATCGTCATGCTGCCCCACTGCGTTGGTGATTCTCTTTCGTACCTCAATATTTGAAACGTGGTCTTTGTACGAGATGTCAAGAAGGCTGCAGTAACATCTCATCTCTGTTGTCTGAATCTTTTTCTCTAATTCTGCTGTCAGTGTCCACTACTGGCAGGCACACGCTTTTTTTTTTCAAAGTAAAAATATTGAAATGACCAGTGAACGCATTAGTCTGATTTTTTAGTAGTGCATGATGTTTCTGTCCCTCCAAATAGGCTTCAGTTTTGACAGCGCAGCTGTTGTTTGCGCGATTCTGGACAGAATTTCTGGTCTTGAGCCTTCACCAGAGACTATTGATCCAAGGTATTTGAAGCTGTTGACGGTCTCAAGTTTCTCGCCCCTTTGATGTCCGAGTTGATGCCATTGGTGTTATTGGTCGTTATCTTGGTTTTCTCGGCACTAATCTCCATGCCGTAGGCTGCTGAGGTTGTGTCCAGTCGCTCCACTTGTGTGGCGAGCTCCAGTTCTTCTCTTGCTAATCCATCGATGTCATCGGCAAACGCAAGGTAGGGATTGTCCTGCCTCCAATACTGATTGTTCCATTGTGGTCTTCCACAGTGTCAGTCATGATTCGTTCAAAGAAGATGTTGAAGAGAGTGGGAGAGAGCAAACAGCCTTGCCTCACCCCGACCGTTGTCCTGAACCAATCTCCCATGCTGCCGTTAAGATAGACTGCGCTGGAGGCCTCGGCATATAGTTGTTGTATGACGTTGATCAGGTTGGCGTTGATGTTATATTTCCTCATGGTTGCCCATAAGGCTACATGCCAGACCCTGTCGAAGGTCTTTTTAAAATCCACGAAGATATGGTATAGGTTTTGTTGGTGTTGGAGGTACCTCTCACACTGTATCCTGAGGTTGAAGATCTCTCCTTGTTCTGGAAGTGTTTATTATTGTCCGCGCACTTAATCCCGTCTTGTCGCCGATGGACGTGCTATTTTCTCAACATTACAGAGAAAGTGTTTACTCTTTTTGAACGAAACAGAAACTTGTCCGATCAGCTGTAAACTAACGGCAATACTGCGGCACCTTTCAAATCATCATTCACATCTTTAAAAAAATAAGACACTGTATGTTTCATTATAAACATGTTGTTAAACAGTTGTTGCCTGCCTATTTTGAGGTTCAGCTTTAAAAAAAAAAGAATTGAAAAAGCTATATGGTTAACGATGTAATGATTTTGCCGAAGGACCAGTACGCACTTTCTCAAGTAAAACCCTCAATAATTATTATCATACTATACCATGCTTGCTATCTCTACTGGATTAACATTATGTAGTGACATTCATATATACGTATAAATGTATAAGGGGTTTTTTTCAACGTCCTAAAAGGACTAACTTTAGTCACAACAGATGACAAGAAGTCAAATCATGACCAAATTGTGTTGATACCGCCGTGAAACAAATACGCCAACTTTTTCAGTAGCCGTTCAACCAAATTCGTTTTATTGCCTTTTTATAGGGGGTGCCCACATATGTGATCGGGTCGGGTTGGGTCGGGTCGATCTGGTAGTCGAGGGTAGCCAAATTGAGGGCGCAAAGCGGCCATTGTGGAACAAACCTTTTTTAATGCAGAAAGCCGAAACAGTTGGATTATTTCAGAAGCGAACTCCGACACTCCCTGTCAAGGTCAACCCGGACTGAAAAATATTGTACAACGTCCCAGTAGAAAGATCGAGATTCTCGATAAAATTCTCCCCGCACAGGTGTTCTGCGTGCAACGTCGAGGCGCCTCGCCGCGATACCACAGTCGCCGATGGTATGACGATGCATTTGGGGGGGGGGAAAGGGGGCCGAGTCACGAGTTGATTTTCTTGTCTGGTGTTTGCTTCAACGCAGTTTTTAGTATCGTTAGGTTTCTTTTACATTATTATATACCTACAAATTGAAATAAATCACAAAACAGATGTGTTGCTATGCAAGCATAGTGAGGTATGACGCGGCATGTTGAAAGAAAACACGGAGCAGAGAATAGGGAGATTTTCCTTACAAACGTTTGCTCCTTATTAGCAGTTCAGGGGCACGCTGAGTCGGTATCGTACTGGACTACGACGAGGATGATGCTGGTTCGAATCTCCAACGGGCCATTCGGAACTTAAAATGTTTTAGGGAGCAAGGCAGTTTTAAGGCTCTCCACCCATTTGGCTGGGTCCTATTGAAGATGCATGTTAAATTCGGAGGTCCCACCTCTTAAATAACCTTACGGTGTTGAAATAGGCGTTAAACCGGGGCGGCTCATGGGGCTAAAAAGTGGGCGTGCACAATTATTAATTAAGCTATCACAAGCTGAAGATAGCCAAGGGCGTAGTAAATGGGATGGTGTATAATTTTAGGATCTTTGGGTTTGTGAGGGAGGACTTCGTGCTTTTATGTTCTCTCCTTTTACTTGTCGCATTGATTTCTATAACTAAATCTGTTTGTTAGCTAAACATCAATTTCGTTCATCCTGCATTAGAACTGAACACTCAAGTACCCAGTAATAACTTTCACAACTCCACAACAAAACCATTCAAAGACACAACTCATAGGACGGTGACTTAAGTATGTCACGTTCACCTCTCTCAGGTTCACGGCCACAGAATCACTTAAAATAGCCTAGTGGCAAAACAATGAACCAATCAGAATTCGCTTGAGCTCTCTGCTGGATTGCTCCGGGGCTCACATAATTTTGGCATAGAATAGTGCACAGTCTATGGCGTTTATTTTTAGACTGCCTACTGCGGGCTATGTTTCGGCACTATTCGGCAGGAGCACATTTGAGATATGCCTACTTATTAATATTAATGTACCGCCAAACTCGCTACGAGTGTCACCATCGCTTGGGTTGTCCCAAAGAGCGATTTATCAGTCAGGTTATCATTGTTGAATTTCCTATAATATTTGACTAGTATTTGTTTCTGGCATCTTTGATTTTATTATCGTGGGTGCTTTACGTAAAAGAACAATTGAAAAATTCTGGGCGGCACTGCACGAACGTGCTCTATGGACGAACCGCGCCTGCGTTAAACCTATGCAATGACAAATGACCGAGCAGTTCGTGACAGTGTTACTTTTAACAGTAACAGTAGACATGATGATAGCAGCTGGTTTTGAGGGCGCCACTGGTAGCTGCTACTTTGTTCAT